ACCCCCGGAAGGGTTGTTTGGTCATTTATTTACCCCCTCCCGCCCTCAAACAAATCCCTATGGCCCTGGCATCCCCGGCAAACTCACCCCAGCAGCCTCGGAAAACCTGACTGCTCAAACACAGTCTGGACATGTGAGGTCACACTGGCTAAACACAGGGTTTGATATAGATTTTTAGCTGACATGGCTGTACTCTGCGAGGAGCACATCTGTGTATGCCTCCTGATGAACCCAGAGCTCACATGTCTGGAGGTTGCGCTCGAACTGCACACCAAGAAACATGGTGAAGGGCCCAAGGTCCTTGATGCCAAAAGCTTTTCCGATCTCTCCTTTGATGAAGGTGAGGAAGGGGGTGAAGTTGCAGCTGGACAGTCCGTCATTGACATGCATGGCGAGGAGATGTAACAACCATGCTGGATGGGGTGGAGACTTAGCTTCAGCTTGACGGAAAGGGCAGCTGCGCCACCACACAACATCTGGGTGTCCCCGATTTTGGATGAACAGGGAGGAGCCGGATTCCGGCAGTGAACTAGAGCAAAGGGGGTATGTCAAGTTCGACATTCCAACTGAGGAATCTACTACTGTACATGGGTATTTATGCTATGTAGGATAATGGACCATGATTATGTAATAGATAACTTAGCTGGGACAAGAAGAACAATGAAGGACAATGGGACAATGGCTGGGAGACACAATGGAGTGAGCCGGAAACATGGCTTGCCTCGGAAGTGCCTCAGAAGTGCACGGCTTGTTCCCAGATGTCTCGGAAGCGTCCCAGAAGAGCACGGCTCATTACCACAAGCCTCGGAAGCTGGATACAGCCTCAGGTAGTGATTTGCTGGCTCGGCCTGGAGGCCGTAAGCTGGCCTAAGCCGGGCCAAGCCTGAGCCGTGGGTACGGCTTTGGGCAGCCTACGGCTCAGGCTTCGATAATCCCAAGCCTGAGGCCGTCCCCCAGGCCGCCATGTGCCCCGTGTTGGTGGTCTCTGATTGGCTTATGGGATACAAGTTCATTTCCGGTGAGTATAAATACCTTTATTGGTGAGCCGAACTAACCAATCATGTCTTCTCGTCCCACCTGTACCATTCACCCATCCACGAAGCTGACTGCTAATAATGCAGGCGATCTTGAGCTTCTGTTGCCTCGTCACCTCATTGCAACAACCTCCCTTAGCCGTCAATAGCCATCTCGCCATTGGTTCTTCCTCAACATCAGCCCCATCGTCATTGCCAAGTCTGCTAAGCATTTTCAGCTGCCGGTATCACAATTACCAAGCGCCGAAATCGACTATCTTCTCTTCCGCCGCCCGCGAGGTGGTGACCATGGCCCAAGAAGAGAAGGACCTCAATTTCGTAGACAGGCCTGGAGCCGGAGAACCAGGAGAGGGATACAGTGCAGGCCCAGGGCCGTCAAGGATGCAGAAGCTTGTAGATGACAACAACAACATAGCAGTGGAGTTCAACCATGCAGATGATGTACAATCTATTGATAGTTAGTAAATACATGAATTTTGTCCTGTTTCCTTGTGCAGGCCAGAGCCGGGCCTAGGCCATGGGAAGCCGGGAGGGACGGCTCAGGCTTCAAATATTGAGAGCCTGAGCCTCCCAAAGCCGGGCCTAAGCCATGGCTTTCAGGCCGAGCCGGGTCGGCAAACCACTAGCCTCAGGAGCCGGATAATTGTGCCAGGAGCCGGGGACAGGTCATGACAGGAGACAGTGGACATCGGTGTCGGACCAGACCCTCTTGAACATGAATAGAGCATGGTCAAACTCAGAGCGGACAAAGCCAAGGGCTTTGAGGACCTTCCTGAGCAGTTTGTACCAGATCATGCTTGCCTGCTTGAGACCATAACAGCCATGTATGCTAGAAATCTGTATCAAACACTGTATTTAAACAGGGTATACTCACATGTCAGGACTGTGATTAAGCAGTCCACCCACGGAGAGGCCGTTGCTGTGCATGCCGGGGCTCAGTGCTGTGGGCAGGACCTGTCAACACAAGCAAACAATGCAGGAAACAATGCCCAAGCATTGTTCCTTGTCGTTTTCAGTGTTCCCGCCCCCGTTTTTGACAGGGAAAAGCTGCCAACGATGAGGAAACATATTTCCTCATCGTTGTGCACCATCTCCCCCATTGTCAGGGGGCAGGAATGGGTGGATTGGCCCAGGTGCATTTGGATGATGTGGCCTTTTTGCGGGGCCTGTAGCTATTTTTAGATTATGCTGTAATTACGATGACACATCCCTTGTAATGCTCTTGCCAGTGTCTGTCCCGACGTCCGGCGAGCTCGGGTATCTTGCAACACTCGGAAAATTAGCAGAAAAAATTTGTATTAAATTGCAAGAAAATATATGCACAATGCAGGCGGCTCTACCAGCCACCCACTATGACATATGGCAGAAACGACGTGTTGCAGCACATCGTTTCTGCTGTGGTCCTGGTCCCTGCCCTTTTGGAGCAAAAAAATTGCAAAAAAAAGTCATATTATATTGTAATAAAATGAATACATGCTGCAGGTGGCTAGTAGAGCCACCTGCCATGAAATACAGATCAAACGAGCAGAAACGGCACACTATGATGCGCTGTTTCTGCTCAGGGGGACAGGTGGTCCCCCTCTGCCCCCTCCTCTGCTCAGCAGGGTACACCCTGCACCTCCGGTGCTCGTTCGGCGCCGACTGTACCCCTCGGCGCCATCCGTGCTCTCCATTCGCCTCTCACGGGACCCTCCTCCACTCCCTCTGCCCCTCCTCCACCCCCTCCTCTGCTCATTGGGACCGTTTGTCGGTCATTGTCGATCGTTGGGTTCAGTTGTAGCTCGTGGAGCTCGGTTGGCAGTCATTGGGTTTGGTCGTTGTTCGCTGGGCTCAGTTGTTGCTCGTTGGGCTAGGGGGTTGGTTGTTGGGCTCGCTGGTCAATCATTGGGCTCAGTCATCACTCGTTCGCTCGTTCATTGCCTGTTGGGCCTGTTTGAGTGCTCGTACTCCCCCCTCCTCATGCTCTCCCTTGTGCTTGAGCTGCTGGCAGTGGGTGCTGAGCAGGAGGCAAAGGGCGAGGGTGAAGGCTGAGGGGGGGGGCTGAAGGGCGAGGGAGGAAGGCCGGGATGAGAAAGGCAAACAGTGGATGGGGGCAAATGACGGCGGGCAACGGTAACAGCGGACAGGGGCAAACAATGGGGCAAGGGCAAATGGCAGGCAAGAACAAATGGTGGGCCAAACGTGTGCCCGCCCCTGTCATGTTTGCTGCCCCCGTGTTCGCCCTGTCGTCGTCATGCTCGCCTTGCCCCCATCACCGTCGACCCCGTCGTGTTTGCCCCACCACTATGTTTGCCCCACCGCCATGTTTGCCCTGCCATCGTGTTTGCCCTGCTGCCGTGTTTGCCCTGCCATCGTGATTCTCCCTCGTTCACTCCTGTTGTAGTGCTCGCTCCCAGTCAAGCGAGTGGCAGCGAGCGTTGATGGTCCAGACAAAGGAAACCCACATCCCTGTTGAAGGGGAGGGGTGGTGATGGGTAGCACAGGGTTGATGGTGCAAGAGTGGGGGGGGAGATGACAGCGGATCGGAGCGGGGTGAAGTAGCCAGGGGGGCAAATCCCGCCTTGCCCACATCCCTATGGCAGGGGAGGGGCACAAGAATCGAAGACAACGAGCATCAACTTAAAGTTGATGCTCGTTCACCTAATTGTACAAAAATGTATGTTAGAGTATATAGTTGTAAAGATAAACATAGTGCTCACCTTTTTTGATGCCCTGGGGGGTTATTTGAAGTGAGGGAGGATGAGGGGAGAGGCCAGGTGGTAGTTGAAGATGAGGATCAATGACTCTTGTCGTCGTTGATGGCTTATCTGGCATATGCCGCAAACGATGTGGTTGGCTGGCACAGGCGGTCCGGCCAGCCCGCGTTCCACTTATCGACCTCGGAATCGCCTATTTGCTCGAAAATATGATAAAAATTGCGTGAATAAGCATCGGTAATTAATTAAACTACTGTATTCTATGTATGTATAGATGTCCGAATATTATCTGAGAGCAAGAGCGAGCTAAGAGCCCGAATTACGCGTTCTGCGTGGTGATTTACATTCTCCCGACATTCGAACATGCTGAATACCACTCATTCGACACGCTGAACAGTCAAAAAAACTTTGCATTTTAAATCCTTGAGGGAGTAGGTGTAACATATCAAAAATTTAGGCTGTATTTCCAATGTGGATTTTACAATACAAGCCAGTGTCCGAAATTTGACACATCTTGAGTTAGATTTTGCTTCAGAATTCACATCATCCTTCATGACTTCTTAGTTTACATCCTAAAGTTAATAAGTTCATCAGGGGAGCTCTATTCCTCAATACTATCACAACAAGCCAGTCTATATACCATTTTTACTTATTTATTTGCCTTCTTCTCTGTCTTGGAATCTACATGCAGAGGTGAGAGTCCCATAATTGGCCTGAGTCTGAGATGATTTCACTTGTAAAATATTTCGGTTTTATTAGATCTCATTAAAATTGCATTTATATGTGCGCTTATATATTAATAACAATTTCCAAAGGTTTTGATAGAGTAAAATGACATTCTGTAGGAATCAGAGACGTTCCGTTGGTCAACAATGGAACGGAGGTGGATCAGGCCACAGGTCCCAGCCAATGGGACACGTAGCCGGATCCCGCTGAACCGCAATCAACAATGTTGAACATCGTTGATCTGGCTCTTTCTCCACCACCTCCCTCAACCCCTCACTGCGAGGCAGCCCCAAAAGACAAAAAGAAGGTAAGTATACATATTTCTTGTGTATTTACATCCCTACTAACCAGCCCCTATCCTCAGAGAACCCCGTCAATGTCAATGACAATGCAACAAAGCTCTTGAGCCCCTCCCCTTGCAACAGGGATGTGGGCTCGCCTCGACACCTTGATGCCCATCCCCGCCCGCTTGCCCACCGCTGCCCATTCGCCTGCCGTCGCCCTCTCGCCCACTCGACCAGGCAGAGGATGGGCAACAGCAGGCACAAGATGACAGCGATGGGCACAGGACAACAATGATGGGCACAGGACGACACGACGGGCACATGGATGAGGACGACGGCGACGAGGATGACAACGGGGGCACGACGTTGAGGACGGAGGCATGACGACAAGGACGAGGACGGGGGCCGGACGAAGATGACAGCGGCGAGGGCAGGACAACCAGCCATGTCTGCTAGAAATCTATATCAGACACTGTATTTTTACAAGGTATGCTTATATGTCAGGACTGTGGTTTTACAGTCCACCTACGGAGAGGGCGTTGCCGGGTGTGCCAAGGCTTGCAGCTGTGGGCGGGGCCTGTCAACACAAGCAAACAAAGCAGGAAACAATGCCCAAGCATTGTTCCTTGTCGTTTTCGGTGTGCCTGCCACCGTTTCCGACAGGGAAAAAGCGCCAACGATGAGGAAACATATTTCCTTGTCGTTGTGCACCGTTTCCCCCATTGTTGGGGGGCGGGAATGGATGGATTGGGCCAGGTGGGTTTGGATGACATGGCCCTTTTGGTGGGGCCTGTAGCTATTTTTAGATTATGCTGTAATTACTATGACAAACCCGTTGTAATGGTCTTGCCGCCGTCTGCCACGACATCCGGTGAGCTCGGGGTAGACCAGAAAAATAGCAAAAAATCGTTTTAAATTGAAATAAAATACATACATGATGTGGGTGGCTCTTACCAGCCACCAACTATGAGTTAAGACAAAAAGAAGTAGAAATGACATGTCGTGACACATCGTTTCCGCTATGGTCCTCATCCCTGCCTTATTGCAGCAAAAAAATGCAAAAAAAAATTGTATTATATTGTAATAAAATAAATACATGCTGCAGGTGGCTCTACTAGCCACCTGCTATGAAATAAGGATCAAACGAGCAGAAACGGCGCGTATAAACATGCCGTTTCTGTTCCAGGTCCCCCTCTGCCCCCTCTTCTGCTCATCGGGGTACCCTCTGCCCTTCCTGTGCTCGTTTGGGACCCGCTCTACTGCTCCACCCCCTCCGTGCTCTCCACCCGCTTCTCATGGGGCCATACCTGTCCGATCTGCACCACGGGACCCTCCTCCACCCCCTCTGCCACCCCCACCACCCCTCCTCTGCTCGTTCGGCCCATTCACCACTCATTCTGCCCGTTTGTCGCTCGTTGATGCCCTTTGGGTGCTTGTCCTCCCCCCTCCTTGTCCTCTCCCTTCTGCTTGAGCTGCTAGTGGTGGGTGCTGAGCAGGAGGCGACGGGCAGGGGTGAAGGGCGATGGGCGATGGCGAATGGTGAACGGCGATGGCGACAGGCAGAGGCAAAGGGCGCAGGGCGGAGGCAAGGGGCGCGGGCAAAGGGCGAGGGGTGGGGCAAAGGTCGAGGGGCGGGGCAAAGGGCAGGGCAGAGTGCGAGGGCAGGCGAGGGGTAGATGAGGGGCGAGAAGGCAGGGGTGGAAGGCGAGAGGGCGAGGCAGAGGATGGGAGGCGTGAACGAGGGGCGAGGGCAGAGGTGAAAAGTGCCCTCACCCTCCTCGTCGTGCCGTCATCCTCATCGTGCCGTCATCCTCATCGTGCCGCCCTCCTCATCGTGCCGTCATCCTTGTCGTGCCGCCCTCCTCATCGTGCTGTCGTCCTTGTCGTGCTGCCGCCGCCGCCATTTGTCGCCCGCTGTCGGTCGTCCATTGTCTTTCGTCGCCTGCTGTCGTTCGTCGCTGTCGTCATGCGTTGTTCGTCGGTTTCGATATTTGTCCCTCTTCAAGGGGAGGTGTGCAGAGTGAGGGCGCAGGCGATGAGAGGCGGAAGGTGGTGGGGAGCTTGAGGATGGAGAAGGCGAGAGGCGCGCGAGAGGCGACCTGGGTGGGGTTTCGTGCCTCTGCTCACATCCCTATTGAAGGGGAGGGGCATGAAAGGCAATGAAAATGAACGTTGACTTAAAGTCGACGTTCGTTGACCTAGCGTGGTTTTAAACATCAATTAGAGTAGACATTTATGAAGGAAATACATTACTTACCTTTTTTTTCGGTCCTGGGGGGTTATTTGAGGCATTGGACTGAGAGGGGGAGCGCCAGGTGGTGGTTGAAACTGAGATCAACGATGTTTGTCGTTGTTGATGGCTTATCCGGCGGATGCCGCGGGCGACGTGATTGGCTGGCGCTGGTGGTCCGGCCAGCCCGCGTTCCGCTCATCGACCTCGGAAGAGCCAATACACTTGAGATATGAGGAAATTCCTTTGATTAATAGTTGGTAATTAATTACACTACTGTAGTCTATGTATTTAGAAAGATCCGAATATAATCTGAGAACGTGAACGAGCTAAAAGCTCGAGTTACCGTTTCTGCATGGTGATTTACGTCTCCTTGATGTTCCAACCTCTTGAATACCACTCGTTTGAGTAGTTGAAGCATCACAATAACTTGGCATTTGCATCTGTAGGTAAGTAAATACAACATATCAGAAATTTAGCCTACATTTCTCATGTAGATCCTGTAATATGTGCCAGTGTCTGAAAATTGACACATTCTTGAGCTGGTTTCATACCAGAATCTACATTGTCATTCGTAGATTCTTAGTGTACATCCTAAAGTCAGTAAATCGGTCAGGGGAACTCTATTCCTCAATACTATCATAATTAGCCAGCATGTATACCATTTTTATAGATTTATTTGGCTTCTTCTGCCGCTTGAAATCTACGTACAGAGGAGAGAGTCCCCTAATTAGCCCGAACCTGAGATGAATTGCCTCACAAAATATTTAAATTTTGTTCTATTTCATTAAAATTACATGCATAGATGAATATTTATACTAATAACAATTTCCGATAGTTTGAATAAAGATACGACACGTTCTATATCCCCCGGAGACATTCCGTTGGTCGACAACGGAACGGAAACGGGACCGGGCCGATAACCCCAACCAATGGGATGTGCAGCCGGATCCCGCCGAACCGCGATCAACGATGTTGAGCATCGTTGATCTTGGTCTTTCTCCACCACTTCCCTCACCCCCTCGCTTCGAAGCAGCCCCAAAACACAAGAAAAGGTAAGTATGGTTCTTTTTTATGTATTTAGGTCCCTACTTACCTACCTTACCTCCACAGAATCGCGTTCACGTCGATGACGACACACCAAAGCCGCCCCTCCCCTAGCGACAGGGATGTGGGCTCGGGCACCTCCATGCCCACCACCACCTGCTTGCCTGCCATTGCCTGCTTGCCCGCCACCGCCCTCTCGCCCAACATCGCGCGCTCGCCTGCCATCGCCCTTCAACCAGGCAAAGGATAGCAACGGCGGGCACAGGACGACAACAATGGCGGGGGCAGGATGACAACGATGGCGGAGGCAGGACG